GCTTAATGAAAGAATGAAAAGTTTTGATTATTATATAAACGGATTTTCGAACAGGCCGCCACTTGTAAGAGAGGAGGAAGTGAGAAACAAACATTTAAGTATGTCAGGTACTGAAATGATAAATTTTTTTTTAACGTTCGGTTTTTTAGTTGGAGACTTTGTGCCGTGTGATAATAAATTCTGGCATTTTTATATTGTTTTACGCCAAATATTTGATATTGTTGCTGCCACTAACATTCAGACTGAAATATCGATATTGTTGGAGCAACTCATTTTTGAACACCATACATTGTACAAGGAACTTTTTAAAGATAAACTAAAACCTAAGCATCATATTATGCTACACTTTCCTATAATGCTTGAAATGTCAGGACCATTAGCTTTATTTAGCACAATGAGGCAAGAATCTAAGAACAGGCTTAACAAGATTCGTGCTAATGCCACATACTCAAGAAGAAACATTACTTTTACATTAGCGTTCAAAGAATCTCTGCAAATGTGTTATAGATTAGTAAGTCAACTAGGATTTACTCGGAAATTTGAAATGGGGCCAGGGAACATTTTAGACGAATTGCCTGAAAACGAAAATTCAGATTATTCGTCCATCTCTGTTGATTTTAAAGCAACTTGCATAGAAGTTCCATGGATTGATTATAAGGGAACAAAATACAAAATTGGTATATATGTTGTTCTTGGTTCAGATAATTTTGAATTGCCTATCTTTGGTGAGATTCAAAGGATATATTGCACGGAGGGCTTTAAGGTTTGCCTTGTATGTTGTACTTTTAAAACAATTGGTTTTGATGAACATATGCATGCATATGAAGTTCAAATGAGTGCTAAAATTTCTTATATCAACATTGATGATTTGTTTGATCACATTCCAGCTATTTCAGTCAGAATGAATGATGGCAAATATTTTATTTCTACAAGGCATGCATTGTGAGTATGTACTGACAAATATGTTAATGATTTATCATAAAATTACTTTAATTTAGAATATGCGGTGTAAATGCTTTCAAAAATAAATTAATGTCATTTGAAAATAATTTGTCTATTTTTTAATACTGTTCGTTTTGAAATAAAACTGACCATCAACCGATTAAAGCATTTTGGTGTTGCCTTCAATCTTGTGCATATTGTTATCATCTTATCTGATTGTATTATATACAAATCATCTGCACGGAAAAAATTGTTGTAATATTTTTAGGTGTTCATATATTATAACTTTTTTTCCGTGCAGATGGTTTGCGCAATCAAATAAGATGGTCGTAACAATATGCATAGGATGGCCACTATGCAGGAGTAAGTTGACTGGAGCAACCAACTAGTAGGCCATCACGCGGGAGTTATTGGTTAGGGAGTAGCCAATCAGCAAGCCCCTGTAAAGTAGGCAATTGGTTCGAGCAGCAAAGTCACGTTTTAACTCCAACCAAGCTTAGCAGCATTGAAAACTGGTTGCTGCAGCCGACTGAAATGCTGTGCCATATTTGACCATTGAAATTGGCTGACGCAGTCAATTCGAGGCTACTGCAGCCAATCTTTTCTTTGAGTGTGCATTCTGACAAATACTGTATTACTGTTCCAATTATATAATATACATAATTATTATATAATATTATATAAAAATTGATTAATATTGTTTTCAAACAAGAATTAATTTTGTACTGTGGTTATGTTAGCGGGAACATGTTCGTTGTCGTCTCCTCAGAAACAAACCGATGCATGTACGAGCGACCCACCCTTGCATCGAAAAAGAAAAAGGACACACTCAACCCCGATCAATGATTCTTCTGGTAATGTAAACAAGCCTATGGACCATTTCTGATTTTTCAGTCATCTGTAGAACTATTTAAAATATCCACAATACATTCAATTCATAATTTTAATGTTGTTGTTTACACATAATGGCCGTTTTCCAAGTACTACGCAATTTATAAATAACGGAAAAAATTAAGGATTATGTGTGTGAGACTCGATAAGTGGTCGGCATTTTCTAATAGAATAAACTAATTGTTGATTAGAAAAAATGTCTGAGACTTCGGGTAACTTCCATGAAGTCTTCCATGAATGATATTCGCCGTTCTCCAGTAAGGAACACTGTGTTATACAAAGGCCTTTTATTGGCCACATATATAAAGCATCTTCTAATTGTAAGATAATATATAGCTAATAAATTGGCTTTGTAATATAGGCTGCATTCCGATATTCACTGTCAGCAACTTTCAGTACTGAAAATCTATAGTATACGTGACGTAAAAGGTTTGCAGTACTGGCAGTGAATGCAGCCATAGTGTTCCTTGCTGGATTGCGTAGTACTTGGAACAATTTGCCTGACAACGTATTGCCTTTAAGTTCATTCTATGCTTTTTATTTAAATTATATAGTTTTTATTCTTAAATAGTATTCTCCTTAAATAAGTTTTCTAAAGTTGATTTTGCGATTCTTTGCGACTTATTAACATTATTTTTTATGTGATTTCTATTTGACTTGGTTTTGTTTTAATATTCTATTGTAAAATTGTATTATCTTGAATGTATAACGTCCGTAAATTTTTTAATAAAAAAATAATTTTTGTTCCTATTGAAATAAGAATAATAGTTTTAAAGTTGACTTTTGATTTTAACAGGTTCCTCAAGTTCTACAGCAGCAGAATTCAGCTTGTCAAATTCATGCACAGACAAACGATAGTGAGGATGTTTCAAGAATAGAACACGGCAATTTCTGTTGCGGTATGTAAATAATTATTATATTGTGTGGAACATAACTACCGTAGGAAAAAATACTGCGTGGGTGAAGTAATTTCAAGATGAAAATGTTAAATAAATTTTTTTGTCAGGTGAGTAATTTAATTACAATTAATTGCTAATGGACGGACCCGCTAGCTCACTTTAATACACTGCGGCGTAGGGCTAATCGTGAATATCAAAGTTTACTCGCGTTGACGTCCATTATCAATTAATTGTAACTAAACTACTTACCTGATGGAAAAGTTTATTTAACATTTTCGTAGTGAAATTACCTCACCTAGTCACAATATTTTTCCTACAGTAGTTATGTTCCACCTAGTATATTGATATTGTAATCATTATATAATTTTCATACTCATTCCCTTGATTTCATCTCATAGACATAAAAGAATACAAATGACCCTGGTTAAAACGAATACAGTTTTTCTAATAGGTCTTTTTAGATAACTTTGTAAAGCTATTTTTATCCCTACAACTTTTCCAACTTCTAGATATGCATGTTTGGAACTACATTCGTATGTACTAGGAAATCTAGACCGGTATTCATAGTCAATTTTTATATTTGGGACCGTGTTAAATACAATCTTAAGATGTTATAGACCAATCACAGAGCCATATTAACATCTTAAGACAGTCTTGAAATAAAATCCGACTATGAATACC